TCCTAGTAGTAAGGCCAGGAGCCCCTAGTAGCGTCCTTGCTCCTAGTAGCGATGCTCTTTGCTCCTAGTAAGGTCCTAGTAGCATCCTTGCTCCTAGTAGTGCCAGATCATGGCCGCAGGGACCTACCGGAAGATTGTGAATCGAGACATCCGCTTTGAGGGAGAGGCATGCACCGCATAGCATGAGCCCAGCACAAGTGCAAGCAAAGCGTTCGATTACTTTCTCAGGCTTGGGATGAAGCGTCATCAATGGTGCCTCACCAAGAACGAAGAGCTCACTGAACACCGGACACCCACTTGTTTGTCACATGAGTCTTGCACATTTACTCTTGGAGGCCATCCTTCGACAAAACGAGACCAAGTGGATGTTCTTGTGATAGGGATGAGAAGATGAGTTCTTAACGGATGTTGCAACACTTGAGTTGTTATTTTGCAAAGCATTTCTGTAAAGCATTTTGCAACACTTGAGGCAAGAGAGGTCATTTTGCAGATGCTTTGCATCGACCCGCTGAAGCGCGTGACGGCAGTGAAGGCTGAAGCGCTTGCATCTCCTAACAGCGCCAGTTGAGACAGGTTGGACCTAGGGGAAAGAAGAGAAAACCACCAACCTAATAAGCAATGGCCTCCAACCTGGCTAGGGAAGAAGAGAAACACACCTCTGGTGTCTTTACCCACAGCCACTTGTTTTCGGCGACTGCAGGGGGTTTCACGGAGTTCAGATGCTTTCTGTGAGGCTTTGGAGCATCCTTGGATACAGTCTGCTGAGGCAGAGAGTGAGGATGATGACCTAGACAGATCAGACAGGTCAGACAGGTCAGATGCCGATGACTCTGACCTCGTCATTGATGAATTAGACGAGGAAGGAGCACCGCCAGGCTGCATGTCGAAAAAGAACAAAGCGAGAGAACATGAGAGCTTCGAGGCAAAAGACAAAGCAGGATCCTGCTACTAGAAGCGATGTCCTTGTCACTACTACTTGTAGCTTCTTAATCCAATAGATGAAACATTGTGAAACTCAAGACCCTCTTGGGCCATCTCGATAATCTTGCGACCCTTGCGGCTGCCAGCTTTGATCAAACACAGCTGCACGACCTAATTCCCCGGAAAAGACCCAATTCCCCGGTGTCACAGCTGCTCTTCCAAACGAATTTGACCTGGGTGACCCTGCTCGATTCAAACCCATCCAGCTCATGGGCCGTGTTTCTACAGAAAACCCTATCAAAGCAGTCCATCATGGGCTTCTTACAGTGAACCTATTGGACTAAAGGCATCGCTACTAAGAGCAAGAACGCTACTAGGATCAAAGGGCAAGGCCTACACGACTTGTTTGTGTGTCATGACTCTCAACCTGGACTCAGAAGTACGACCATTCAACATGATTTGACCATGAGACTCTGATATGTCGTCGCAGCGGAGGGCTGTCTATGCAGCTCGCTTCCTCAGGTGAAGCATGTGCTTTCTATTAACAATGTTCGCTACTAGGGGCTCCTGGCATTGCTACTAGGAGCAAGGACGCTACTAGGGGCTCCTGGCCGTACTACTAGGAGCATGGACGCTACTATGAGCATTGTATCTTTTGATGTAAAAGACAATTACTGTGCTATTGGCTTTTGCAATAGAACTAAAGTTATGCCGCTATGGCACCATTCAAACAGTGGCTGCTTTAGAAGGCCTCCAAGCTGGACCAAGCGCCTGCTACTGCGGGAGAAGCCCCGGCTTTTGACAGGTGCTGGTCACAGAGAAACAAATTCACACGTAACTCAGCGACAGAGTGCTTTGAATAGATTCAGCAGATGTTGGCTTTGAGAAGTTTTGGGCCCTCGCGAGCCCCTTGCTACTAGGGGCTCCTGGCCTTACTACTAGGAGCAAGGACGCTACTAGGGGCTCCTGGCATCACTACTAGTAGCGTTCTTACTTTCTGATCGAGGTCCCTACGAGAATCCAGTGCGACGCTGGGTCAGACTCCGAGAGAAGGCCTCACACATTGGGAGTGCTAGGAACCTACTGGCAAGTAGTTCTTGGCTTCTAGACTTCAAGAGCCGAATTGCTCGACCAACAGACAATAGCACTGGAATCTCTAGAACAAGCTTTGATGGATGGAAATCATGCATCATGCTTTCCGTTCGTCAAAGTCTGCTCTGCAGCACGATGGCTGAAAAGCACCCACAACATCCCTTAACACAATCTGGACTGCAGGAATGTAAATGTGTAGTGCAACAGGTTGCCCGTTTTGTCAATCATCATTGGTAAGCACTAAGGACTGATGTTGTGCCGGTGCGATGCATATCTCTGATCAAAGCCCTTTAAGACAGCAGTTCATCACATGGAAGTGATCCTGTTTATCTGTCAATCCCTGACCCCAAACTAGTAACAAGTGCATCGCTTCTAGTAACAAGTGCCTTACTAGTAGTAACAAGGACGCTACTAGTAGCATTCTTACTACTAGTAACAAGCAGCTAACACAGAGTTGAAGAAGCATGAGCTATCCTGCGTGCTGCTAGCTATTAGCAGGTTGCCTATAATTACGTAGGCGCCTATTTACTTAAGTAACGCCAGGCTAGAAAAGTGCAATAGAATTGATGCTTGAGACGTTGATACCAGTTGCGATGCCCTTGCTCCTAGTAGCTTCTTGTTCCTAGTAGTATGGCCAGGAGCCCCTAGTAGCTTCTTGCTCCTAATAGCGATGCCCTTAGCTAATGCTTGAGATGTTGATGGTTTGATGTTTTTTGTCTCTCAGCCCGACCAAGCTCAGTGCAGGCGCGGCAGTTTGCAGAGCTTCCACCGCCTCGACGAATTCCTGTGCCCAAGCCATCCAGACGTCCGTTCTTGCAGGCGGGGCTTAGTAAGGTAGACTTTCATAGAGGCCATCGCTTCGAGGAACAAAAAACTACTAGTAGCAAAGGGCATTTCTACCAGGAGCAAGGACGCTACTAGTAGCTCCTGGCATTACTAGTAGTAACAAGAAGCTACTAGTAAGTTGGAGGCCATTGCTAGTAGTGGTAGACTTAGTAAGGCTTGGCTTCAAGCCGCAGAAAGGCGGCTTCAAGGAAGCTCCACCCTGGAGGGCCAAGAACCTTTTCACGTCAAAGGGTCTCAAAAACACTTTAAGCAGAGAAAGCTAGTAGCTTCTTGTTCCTAGTAGCGTCCTTGTTACTACCAGTAAGGCACTTGTTACTAGAAGCGATGCACTTGTTACTAATAGCTTCTTTTCTGGTCTAAAGACAAATAGCACATAAAGTTGTTGGCTTTGAAAGCTACGTGCAACGTTTTCTCGACCCGAGGCAGTGGAAGGCGTCCCACGAGTGAGTCCAAAGGCACTTCGAACTCATTTCTGCAAGTAAATTCTTGTTACTAGTAGCGATGCCAGGAGCTACTAGTAGCTTCTTGCTCCTAATAGCGATGCCCTTTGTTACTAGCCTTTCAGTTTATATAATCGTTTATTCGGTGTTTGTCAGTGCAGGCACTGGAGCTACGTTTGGAATTTCTTCTGTCGCATGTTGCAGCGGCTTGGCTTTTGAGTGGCTTTGGAAGACTTTGTGTTTATGATGATATTTGTTTTGACTTGCGTGCGACAAAGATTTGAACGATGTGAAAGCTCATTTCAACAGGGAAACGTGTTGAACAAAGAGAGCACCAGAAAAAGTAAAGAAGCATCCTCTCTCTTTTCAGGAGGCACTTCATTCATGTGCACCTAGAACGCTTGTAAGCTGAAAGGCTGTTGAGGCCCTCAAGTCAAACAAGGTTCCCAAGAGTAATTTCTGCTACACACTGTCAACCTTTGCATGCCCATGGTAGATACTTTCAACATGAATGAATGAACATAAGCGACCTTAAACAAGCGCTTTGTGGCGTCCTTGCTGCTCTTGACTTATGTCTACTCGGTAAGCTGACTCTGAATTACTTTGCTATCCAACCTTGTTGAGTTTCCCTAAACCATTTTCAATGAAGCTCCCCCATGCCGCCTGCAGCTTCGAAGAAGCCTGAGCAGAGATTGTGTCCCTAGCTACTTAAGCTATGTCTTATCCTTCTTGTTCCCTTGTACCAGTCGTAGCACTTAGCTTAGAAGCTAATTCCCCACCAACGGCTTAACTAAGTACCAGGTACAGCAGCAACTGGCCGCTCCTTTGGGACCTGGGCCCAGGATGATCCCATACTTCGTTGAGTTTGAATGCTGGAACAGGCGAACGAACTCGACGAACTCGCGAAGTGACTTGCTACGAACGAAGTAACTAGTAGTAACAAGTGCATCGCTACTAGTAACAAGTGCCTTACTAGTAGTAACAATGTTTGCTATTAGTAACAAGTGCATCGCTACTAGTAACAAGTGCCTTACTAGTAGTAAC